ACATAAAGGCTTCATTTAGTTTTTCACATATAATTTGACGTGTAAAAGTGCCGTTTTATGGCCTATTTGCAAAAATAAATTCATTGTTTCATTGTTTCATTGTTTCATAAACACATAATGTATTTTAATTTTGCATGAGCGGCAAAAGCAGGATTTGGATCACCTGACGGTATAAGCCATTGATGCCACCTAAGCATATTCTCAACATCTAGAAGTATCTAACAAGTGCGTTGATTTTGAGACTGGGTTTTTTATGTGATAGGTCGGCGAACGAGCAGACGGATTACCTGATACATAAACAATCAACGGAAAACGTAGTGTGGGCAGGCCTCCCGCTAGGTGGACCAACGACATCGTCAGAGTCGCGGGGAGCCAATGGATGCAGGTGGTGAATCGTCGTTCGACGTGGAGGGCTAAGGGGGAGGCCTTTGGCCAGCAGTGGATGTCTTCCGGCTGATGATGATCAGCGCCACCCATGGAAAGCCACAACACCAAAGGTGTAACGAGTGCGTTGCCGACCTTTTAGACATAAGGGTTTCGGATATTTAAGGGATGGGAAGGGATGGGAGGAATTAGGCGTCCGGTAACCTCACTCGCACGGCGAAACACAACGCTGGGTTGAGTAAGTAGTGATGATATAACACAAAGTTGATGAGATATAAAATAAATATTTATTATTTAACTACACATAACACAATTAAAACTATACATATAAAAAAGAAACCAATTTAGCAAACGTATCATAGATAAAAAGCGTGTCATCATTTTAAGCAAAATTAAACTTAAAAACTACTTTTCTAGAAACGGTTTTCTCAAATCAAGTTAACTTGACAAGTTTCGAGCTACACTAGAGCCCATAGTCATTTACAGTATTGTGTATTTAATGTACGTGAGTAGCTACCATACTCAGATATTTATTAACAATTATGAAAACTGTTTCTTAATTGAGTTTACAAAACTCAAATAATAAGTAATCAATAAATTACTCTGAGTACTGTAATTAATAATTAGCAACATAGTTTTAATACGGGAGTTTTAACATCAAAATAATTTTAAATTTCTTTTATTTTTTAAGACTTTTTCAAATATAATTTAATCCTCTTTTCGACCAGAGTTTTCTTAATTCGATCTACCGTCAAAAGAGACTTATTGATCTTCCTCCTAATAAGCTTCATCACTATGGCTTTCTTTATTAATTTTAGAAGATTCTTTATCTTTTGTCAAATCTTCTTCCAATGGTACGATTCCATCTGAATCATCATCATCAGGGATGTCTTCTAGTGGAGCTCGGTCTTTGGAATCCGGTTTATCATCATTTTCTTCTTCTGTTTCATTAGAATCGTCCGTATCTGATATTTCTTCATCACTACTTGCTGGATAACACAAAAAAACTATGCGTCTGAAGCACGCAAAATGGCCTTTGTTCAGCACATTATGCGAGATGTCTTTTGTGAGACAGTGTCGCGGCGCTGATTTTCAGCGATGGCCGACACTAACATTTGACGCCAAACGTTCCTAGGATAATAATTATCCAGACCTTCTGAAACGCGTTGTATTTTGCCTCGTGAGTAAGGTTATCTACCGGAGGAACAATTCTTTTCCACCCTCCAATCCCCTAATTTACAGTCAAATTCAATACTATTAGGTATCCAAATGTCAAAACGATACTTTCCTATGTATTTTTTTTTTTGTTAGGGGAAAATCATCCAATGACTTCTCCCGCCCCGGGCCGGGCGGGAGGGAGTGTCAGACTCTTACTGACTAAAAACCCCCCCGTTCCTTCTCCTGTTCTGGGCCGAGATCGCGGTGCCTCATTGCGCTTCCCCGCAACCCCGGCTGAACATCAGCCCTATTGGGCCCCGTCTGTGGTGGTCTATTGGCTCTTTAAGGCGCGCGCCGTACGCTATACTTTTCTATGTATGACGTCATAGTATTTTTGCGTCAAATAGATTACTTATTTCTTAGAAAATAGTTAAAAATATTGACAATTTAGTGTATCGGCAGATCAATGAATAAAAGTTAAGTACCTACTTAGTTCTGTCTGTTATAAAGTTCTGTCGAAGAACCGATGACCGCTGGAGTAAACGTGTTCTAGAGTGGAGACCACGTCTAGGCAAACGTAGTGTAGGGCGCCCTCCAGCTAGGTGGACTGACGACACCCGCAGGGTGGCTGGCAGTGGTTGGATGAGAAGAGCTGAACATCGAGCTCAGTGGCGTGCAATTGGGGAGGCCTATGTCCTGCAGTGGACGACAACAGGCTGATGATGATGATGATGATGATGATGATGACCTACTTAGTTATTAATTTTCAATATTTTATTGTAATGAAACGTGTCGGATTAATAAATTTTTGTCATAGAATTTAGTGATCCGACGTTCTACGAATCTACCCAATTACATGTCCGTCTGCTCGTTTGCCTAACTATCTCATAAAAACAGGGCTTTTAGGGTGGTGGAAAATCGTCTAATGATTACTTTCGACCTGGGTAGAAAGAGAGAGACTGTAAGACTCTCACTGGCTAAAAACCGAACCCCGTTGCTTTTCCTGCGCCAGACCGTGGGACATTATTACCTTTTTTTTTTATTGATTATAGGTTCGCGCTTGACGTCTATCTCACCTGATGGAAAGCGACGATGCGGTCGACGATGTAGCGCGCTTACCTAGAAGTAACCTATTCACTCTTGACTTAAAGATACCCAGATTGTAGCTATCAGGAAACACCGACTCCGGCAAGGAATTCCACTCCTTGGCTGTACGCATGATAAATGTGCTCCCAAAACGTTTTGTACGTATATGTGGGACATCCACCATGTACCGGTGCCGCAATGCCGTACGTCTGGTGGTCCGATGATGGAACGGGCTAGGCGGAATTAAATTATGTAATTCCAACGCACATTCCCCGAAATGCAACCGGTAGAAAGCCGACAGGCTAGCAACTCGGCGTCGATGCTCAAGACTTTGAAGTCTCGACTCGACAAGTGCATCATCGCCAATGATCCTCTTGGCTCGTTTGCTCATTTGCATCAGCAACGCCGGATTATAAACCAAGAAAAAAATAATAAGTATACAAAATAGTTCATTCAGTGATCGTGTATTTTGGTTAAAGTTCTCATCGGCCCATTAGCTCAGTTGGTTAGAGCGTCGTGCTAATAACGCGAAGGTCGCGGGTTCGATCCCCTCATGGGCCATACACGTCTTTTTGTTACATTTGTTCATTTGTATTTTTGGATTGTATGTCGTGGTGGCCTGGAGGTTAAGGAGCCCGCTTCTCATGCATGAGGGTGTGGGTTCGAAACCTGGCAAGTACCAATGTGACTTTTTCCGAGTTATATGTACTTTCTATAATTTTTTAGACACCACTGACATACGGTGAAGGTAAACATCGTGAGGAAACCTGGACTTATAATTTCTAATTGTAAGTTTGAAATCGCCAACCCGCATCGAGCAAGCGTGGTCATTAATGCTCAAACCTTCTGCGTGTGAGAAGAGGCCTTTGCTCAGCAGTGGGCACTTATAGGCTGATGATGATAATGATGATGATTTTTGGATCAGGTTAAAGCTAATTGCTTTAAATTTTCATATTTTGAGTGGGAGAACAGAGCAACGATGTATTTTATTGCAAATTTGCAACCGGTCTACTAATATTATAAAAGTTAAAGTTTATAAAAACGTATGGATGTATGTATGTTTGTTAATGTTTTACGCAAAAACGGCTGCATCGATTTGGTTGCCTATGTAGAAAGGTAAACCCCTGTATTTTAGTCAACTTTTTACCAAAACACTACGCGGGCGATGCTGCGGAAATAAGCTAGTTTATAATAACGATTTTGAGTCAGTGGGTCATCTTAGGGGCGTTTGTAACAACAAATAATGTTTTCTGCCATCAAGTTTTCTCTTATGTCGCACGATACAACGACAAAATAAAGCAGATTAAGTACTTTCTTATAAACACATATGTATTTTAATTTTGCATAAGCGGCAAAAGCAGTATTTGGATCACCTGACGGTATAAGCAAGTGATGCCACCTAAGCTCATTCTCAACATCTAGAAGTAACTAACAAGTGCGTTGATTTTGAGACTGGGTTCTTTATGGTATAAGACGGCGAACGAGCAGACGGATTACCTGATGGTAAGCAATCAGCGTCTGTCGTGGTGGCCTGGAGGTTAAGGCGCCCGCTTCTCATGCATGAGGGTGCGGGTTCGAAACCTGGCAAGTACCAATGTGACTTTTTCCGAGTTATATGTACTTTCTATGATTATTTAGACACCACTGACATACGGTGAAGGAAAACATCGTGAGGAAACCTGGACTTATAATTACTAATTATAAGTTTGAAAGCGCCAATCCGCTTGAGCAAGCGTGGTGATTAGTGCTCAAACCTTCTCAGCGTGAGAAGAGGCCTTTGCTCAACAGTGGGCACTTATAGGCTGTTGATGTGAAGCAATCAGTGCCGCCCATGGACAGCCACAACACCAAAGGTGTAACGAGTGCGTTGCCGACCTTTTAGGGATAAGGGTTTCGGATATGAAGGGATGTGGTCCGGTAACCTCACTTACATGGCGGAACACAACGCTGGGTTGAGTAAGTAGTGATGATATAACACAATATTGATGAGATATAAAATAAATATTTATTATTTAACTACACATAACACAATTAAAACTATACATATAAAAAAGAAAGCAATTTAGTAAACGTATCATAGATAAAAAGCGTGTCATTATTTTAAGAAAAATTAAACTTAAAAACTACTTTTCTGGAAACAACTTTTTCCTTCTGTTAGCCCATAGTCATTTACAGTATTGTCTATTTATTATACTTGAGTAGCTATTTACCATACTCAGATATTTATTAACAATTATGAAAACTGTTTCTTAATTGATTTTGGTATATCAAAATAATTTTAAATTCCTTTTACCGCTTAAGACTTTTTCAAAAATAATTTAATCCTCTTTTCGACCAGAGTTTTCTTATTTCGATCTAGAGTCAAAAGAGACTTATTGATCTTCCTCCGAATTAGCTTCACCACTATGGCTTTCTTTATTATCTTTAGCAGATTCTTCATCATTTGTCAAATCTTCTTCCAATGGTACGATTCCATCTGAATCATCATCATCAGGGATGTCTTCTAGTGGAGCTCGGTCTATGGAATCTGGTTTATCATCATTTTCTTCTTCTGTTTCATTAGAATAGTCCGTATCTGATATTTCTTCATCAGAAGTTCCACTAGAACGGAGCAGTTCTTCGAAACAACCTAATTCTTTTTCTTGTATATTTTCGACGCGTTTTCTATATAATATTCTGTTTCCTTCTGTTAGCCATATTTGTTGGTTTCTATCAGCAACATTTTCTTGATCGCTGTCTTTTCTGGGTTCCAATGATAATCTCTTCCCTGTCAAGTTGTTTTCATTGTTGAGTGAGGTTTTATCCTTTTTAGATCTAGTAAGTATTCTTATAATGATTTTGGCCAACTTACTTCTGTACTGCCTTTTGTCTGTTGCTTGTTTTTCGGTTACCTCTTCATCATCTCCTTTATGTTTTCTATTGAAATGTTTCTTTGTTCTTATGAATTTAGTTACTTTAACTTGTTTATTTTGATTGGCTGTCGAAGATTCATTGCTTTCTTCAGTTTCGTCACAAGCTTTAAACATAAATCCTTCGTGGTTCTTGTATTTCAAAACTTCATCTAGGCTGTTAACTACTTTGCGTTGAATTGTTAGATCAGTGTGTTGGCTTTGTACTTCAGTACCTATTTCTATGTCTTTTTCTCTTATTATTTTGTAAGTATCGTCTTTGTCATCAATGGTGGATTTTGCACCAGATTTTTCATCGTCTATTGTCTTAATGACTTTTGGTTTTTTATTCTTATCAGTGTCAGTTGGTTTACTTACTGGTTTGTCATTGTTAGCGTTTGGTTTTTTGCTGCCAGCGTCTTGATCAGTATTTTTCGATTCTGGGTTTTTATTAGTAGGTTTACTTACTGGTTTGTCATCGTTAGCGTTTGGTTTTTTGCTGTCAGCGTCTTGGTCAGTATTTGTCGATTCTGGGTTTTTATTAGTAGGTTTGCTTACTGGTTTGTCATCGTTAGCGTTTGGTTTTTTGCTGTCAGCGTCTTGGTCAGTATTTTTCGATTCTGGGTTTTTATTAGTAGGTTTACTATTAGGTTTGTCAGAGCCTTTAGAGTCTGGCATTTGATCATCGTTATTAGGTTTATCAGCTGGATTCTTTTTCAAATCGTCACCTTTACTAGGATTTTTACTGTCTCGTTTCTTGTCAATGGTTTTAGAATCTGGCGTCTTATTCTTAGTACTGGGTTTGTTGTTGTCAGTTTTATTGTGTTCTGGTTTTTCATCAGGTTTTTTGCCAGTATTTTCTTCCATAGGTTTTTCGCCAGATGGGGTATTAACAGAGGCCGGCTTTTTATCATCTTTTTTAGGTTGATCATTTGGTGTTTTACCAGTGTTTTTACTGTTTGGTGTTCCAGAAACTGGATTTTCAGTTGGTTTAGGTTTGTTGTCCTTGATACTATCACTATTTCCATCTTTTTCTGAATTGTCTGTCACTGGTTTGGTATCTTTATTTTCTGGCTTTTCATCGTTTTTAGAGTCTTTGGCGTCTTTACTGTCCATGTTATCTAGCTTATGATCAGTGGTTTCTCTATCAGTTTTCTTATCAGTATCTTTACCGGGGTTTTTAGTGGCATCGTTAATATCGTTGTCGTTGCTCTTAGGCTTTGAATTTGTGTCAGCGTTCGATTTTGTTTCTGGATTCTTAGTACCTTTCACATCTTTATTAACAGGATTTGCTCCTGGCTTGTATTCGTCACCTTTCTCACTGTCAGTTGTAACAGACTTCTTGTCAGTAGTTTTATTATCTGTCTTCTTAACTTCTGTGGTTTTCTCATTACTTTTATCAGACTTCAGTTTATCACTTCCTTCGCTATCTTCTGGCTTTATGTCATCATCGTCTACGTTTGGCTGGTCAAGATTATCAGTATCGTCATCCGTATAGTCCTCACAATCTACGGAACCAAAGTAATCACAATCACCGAATTTGGATTCTGGTTTTTGCGTAGTAATGTCTGTTTTGCTGTTGGAATTAGTGCTTGTTTTTTTATGCGTATCAACATCACTTTTAACATCAGGCTTTTTATTGCTACCAGAATTTTCCGGCCCTTGTTGTTTAGTGACAGGTTTGTTGGCATTTTCATCAGTTTCATTAGGTTCTTGTTTCTTGTCAGTTTTAGCTGGTTTTGTTGTATCATCTTGTTTATCAGTATTTCTATCAGTTACTTGTTCAGTATCATCATCATTATAATCTTCACAGTCTACATCACCGAAATAGTCACAATCATAGAGTTTAGATTTCGGTTTGTCAGTTCCAACGTTATCGTCTGATTTCTTTTGTGTTGTTGTATCTACATTTTCAGAGTCAGTTTCAGTTTCATCGTCTTCAAATGATTCATCTTCGATTTCTTCAGAACTTGTGTCATCTAATGTTATTTCGCCCTCCTCGCTTTCAACATCTGGTATTTCTGTAGTTGGTTTTCTGGGGCTGTCAGTTGTTTCATCACTACTTTGTGATGGTTTTTGGTTATCTTCCTCTAGCTTCTTTTCATTTAGTTTCTTGTTTCCTGTTGGTTTCTCAGTACTGTCAGTTGGTTCGCTACTATTCTCAGGTTTTTTATCGCTATCTTTTGGTTTGTCCCTTTCTTCAGATAGTGTATTATCATCTTTAGTGGTCTTCTTATTTCCAGTGGTTTTTTCAGAATTGTCGGTTGTTTTGGTATTGTGACTAGTTGGTTTATCATTATTTTCGGATGATTTCTGATTATCTTCGTCTAGGTTCGTGCCATTATCAAATGGTTTCTTGTCTCCTATTGGTTTCTCGGTAATGTCTGTGGGTTTACTATTATTCTCGTTGGGTTTTTTGCCGCCATCATTTGGTTTGTCATTGTTTCCAAATGGCTTATTATTATCTTCAGCAGGCTTCTTATTTTCAGATGGTTTCTCTGAATTGTTGGTTGGTTTGGTGTTGTTACCAGCTAATTTTTTTGCATTTTTATTCGGTTTATCATTATTTCCCGATGATTTCTGATTATTTTCGTCTGGCTTCTTGTTATCTTCAAATGGTTTCTTGTGTCCTATTGCTTTCTCAGTACCATCTGTTGGTTTGCTACTGTTCTCATTGGGTATTTTGTCACCATCATTTGATTTGTCATTGTTTTTAATTGGTTTATTATTATCTGCAGCAGGCTTCTTATTTTCAGATGGTTTTTCAGTTGGTTTCTTACCATTTTCATTCGATTTATCATTATTTTCAGTTGGATTCTTATTATTTTCATCTGGTTTCTTGCTATGATCAAATGGTTTATTATCATATTCAGCAGGCTTCTTATTTCCTGATGGTTTCTCAGAAGTGTTGGTAGGTTTGGTATTGTTGCCGTTTGGTGTCTTACCATTTTCATTCGGTTTATCATTATTTTCAGATGGTTTCTTATTATTTTTATCTGGTTTCTTGCTATGATCAAATGGTTTATTATCATCTTCACCAGGATTCTTATTTCCTGATGGTTTCTCAGAATTGTTGGTAGGTTTGGTATTGTTGCCGGTTGGTTTCTTAGCATTCTCATTCGGTTTATCATTGCTTTCAGTTGGTTTCTTATTATTTTTATCTGGCTGCTTGCTGTTATCAAATTGTTTACTGTCTCCTACTGGTTTCTCGGTACTATCTGTTAGTTGACTATTATTCTCGTTGGATTTTTTACTGTCATCATTTGGTTTGTCATTGCTTCCAAATGGTTTATTATTATCTTTAACAGCCTTCTTATTTCCAGATGGTTTCTCAGAAGTGTTGGTAGGTTTGGTATTGTTGCCGTTTGGTTTCTTACCATTTTCATTCGGTTTATCATTAATTTCAGTGGGTTCCTTATTGTTTTTATCTGGCTTCTTGCTAATATCAAATGGTTTCTTGTCTCCGACGGACTCAGAACTGTCAGTGGGTTTGCTACCATTCTCATTTGATTTCTTATCGCCATAATTTGGTTTTCCATTGTTTTTAGGTGATTCATTGTCGTCTGATGACTTCTTACCGTTCTTATTCGGTTTGCCATTATTCACATCTGGCTTTTTACTATCATCAATTGGTTTTTTGTCTTCAGTTGGTTTCTTAGTACTGACAGTTGGTTTCGTATCATTGTCAGCTGGTTTATCACTATTTCCTTTTGGTTGTTCGGTATTTTCAATTGGTTTTTTGTTATCATTTGATGTGTCACTATCCCTGGATTCCTCGATGTTGTTTATTGATTTTTTGTTACTAATCGGTTTCCCTTTATTTTCAGAAGGATTCTTATCAGGTTTCTTGTTTTTATCAGTGTTTACAACATCTGGCTTAATCGTTGTTGCACCAGGTGCTCCATCATGTTTATTTTTACCTGTGTTTTCACTACTATTTTTTTCTTCTATATTAGGCTTTTTGCTGTCACCTTGGTCTATATCTTCTGAACTAACATATTCATCACTTTCAGTTTCTTCAGAATCCTCAGCATCACTTTCAGATGAGTCATCATCGTCATCGTCAATTATTGCATCATCAACGATCCTATCTTTTTTAGGATTCTCAGTAGTGTCTGTTACGGTTTCATCATTGTCATCATCGTAGTCTTCACAATCAACATTTCCGAAATAATCGCAATCTCCGAAACGCTTAGGATTTTCAGTTTTTTTATTTTTTTCTGTTGTTACTGTGGCAGGTGCACTTCCGATTGCAGTTGAACCGTGTGTTGTCTTTTCAGTAGTGGTTTTTGGCTTATTGTCTTTATTATTATCTACCTTTGGATTTTCATCGTTGCTAGTGTCTGGTTTTTGGTCTTTCGGTTTGTTTGATTGTCTATCTTTAGGCCCTTCTGTAGTATTTGGTATTTTACTAGATTCTGTGGAAGGGGTTTTCTTGTTTAGGCCATCTTTCTTTTCTACGGGTTTTTCTGTTGTATTACTACTGTCTGGTTTAGGAGTAACATTTTTAGAATTTGGCGTTATAACATCTTCAGTGTGTTTAGTATCTGGTTTATTTGTTTCATCATTTATTTTTTCCTGAGTTTTTTCCTTTTTATTCAATTTGTTGTTTTCTTCGTCATCCCAATCTTCCATACTATTATATTCTTCAAAACTTTCTTCATCATCTATTGGGTGACTTTTTTGTGGGCTATCCTTTGCACCTGGTTGGACCGGCAATTTTCCAGTTGGATTTTCTTCTTTTTTGTTTGGTACATCAGATTTTCCTTCTTTTTTATTTTCATTGGTTTTTGTATCTGGTGTTTCATTGTTAGTATCAACAGGTTCTGGTTTTTTCGTTGATGAATCATGCCGGTTCTTCTCAGTGTTTGATGTCTCGCCAGAGCCAGGATTGGTAGTAGCAACAGCATTTTTGTCTTTATTAACATCAGTTTGCGACTTTTCTGTCGTTCCTGATTTAGAGTCGGGTGTCTTTTCAGTTGATTGTCCATTTTTAGGCTTTTCATCGTCAACTACAGAGTTTTCCGTTGTGGTAACAGGTTTCCCAGTTTTACCATTATTCGACTTATTCAGTGGTTTTTCGTCTGATGGATTTTTGGCATCTGGCTTTTTATCACCGACGGGAGTTTTTATAACTGGCTTTTTGTCAATATTATTGTTTGGCTTCACTCCACTAGCCGGTTTTTCAGTACTTGGTTTCTTATCGGTTTTACTATCTGGTGTTTCGTCATCTGTGTTGGTGGAGTCTTGTTTATTTTTGTTGGTTGGTGTTTTGGCAGATTTTTTCAGACCCCTTTTGATAATTTCTTCAGTTGTAGACTTATGTTGTTTGCTATTAAATACTGAATCTTCCGAATTTTCTATAAATGTAGTTCTAAATACAGATTCCTCGTCGTCATCTAAATCTTTTGTTGACTTTATATCTTTAGCAGGCTTTCTTTTCACAATGGTAAGTTTACTATCATCATTTATTTGCTTAGATTCGAGTTTAAGGTTTTCATCTTTCATTTTCTCGTCTGGTCTCTTCGTAGTGCTAGTAAGAGTATGGCTATCAGTGTTTTTATCTTGAATATTTGGTTTTTGATTATTTTTATTGTTTTCAGATTTAATTGGTTGTTTATTGTTCGGTGTTACTGTTGATGGAGTGTTTTTATTGTTTTCTAAGTAGTCATCATCATCGTTATTTTCTTCTGATCTGTCATTGCTTTCTCCAACAACTGTGAATGTTACTTTATTTCGTGGCTTCTTTATATTTTTGTGGTTATTGACTGGTCGGCTATTTCCATCATCATTGTCTTCCAGAATATCTTCAGCGTCATTCAAATTATCTTCATCACCAGGTTTGCGGTTCTTATGTCTTAAAATTCTTTCGATTCTAGTTGTGGTTCTCTGATTTTGACTACTACTGCTTTCTTCTTTTTCAATATTAGTTGTCCTTAATGATTTTGTTATTTTGTAATATTCATCGTCTTCATCACTGTCTACACTGTCGTTGTTGGGTGTTGGATTTTTAACAGTTTTACTAGGTTTATCGTCGTTTTTAACGGTAGTCGTAGGAGTGGTTGTGGTGGTTGTGTTTTTAGCAATAGGTCTTTGGTTAATGTCTTCTGTAACTTTGGAATCATCAATTTTCTTCGGCTGTCTGGTCTTATCGATGTATCCACCAGGCACTTTAAGGATCCTTGGAATAGGTTTTCCAATTTGAGGAATTGGTTTTTGGGTAGTAGGGTTTACTTTCTCATCTTTAGCTGTTGTTGTGTCACTAACTTCTTGGGCAGGGTTAACACCTTGTTCATTTTGATCTAAATTTTTATTTCTTTTCGGTGCATAAATGAATTTTCTTGTATCTGGTTTTCTGTTAACTATTTTATCCTTGTTACCGTCATATATATCTTCCGTGTCAGTAGTTAAAACTGCGCCTTCATCTATGGGTATTTCATGCGCATGGAAAATGACTCCAGAAGGAGTTCTGATTACATGAGTTTTCCTTATTTCAGAAAGGTTTTTGACATCCGTGTTAATATTCTTAACAGTTTTAGGGTTTTCAGAATCAACTGGTTTATCTGTATCAGTGGGTTTGGGATTTGCGTCATCATTTACGGGTTTCGTCTGAACAACATGTGGCAAATCACTATTTTGATTTATAACGTCTTTTTCTGATCTTTCAACAGTTGCCTTTTCAGGTGCTTTTGGAAATTTGTCAATCACAATCGGAGCTGAATCTATTTTCTTGTGGATGCCATTTTTAGGATTACGAACATTTTGTGGAATTGGTACCTGACTTGCTACTGGTGGTTTCCTAATTTTAACCCCATTATCTCCAGGCGTAGGTGTTTTAGGTACCTTTTTATCATCATTATTTCCATTAATCGGTCTTTGTACAGGAACAGATTTTTTAACAGAACTATCATTACTATCAGAATTATTTTCATCATCATCTAAAGGTTTAACATCAGCATTATTCTTCCCAGTTTCGTTAATTATAGTAACAGAGCTTTGTTTAGTTCTTTTATTTGTTTCTTGAGAGTTTTTAGTGCTTGCCTTTGTAATGAATGCTCTGTCAATGATAATGTCAGATGAAACCACATCATCGTTAAAGGATTTATCATCTTTTACAACAACAGTATCTTCACTAATAGCAGGTTTCTCATCGCCGGGATTATTACCGTCTATATTAGTTGGACTGTATGAAACTTCTGGCTTAAAGGAAGGTTCTGGATGGAATCGTCCATTATAAGATTTAAATTTTTTGTATCCTGCAGTGTCTGATACAAATTTGTCATTACTAAAATGTGTTTCTTCATTCATTACAACTGGGGCACCAACATACGGAACAGGTTCTTCGTAATAACGTACTCTTTGTTTTTGAATCGCATATTCAGGTATATTTTGAGCTACAGGAATGTACTGTACGGGAGAAATTCCGTACACGTTTGATATATACTTTTCCGATTCTCCAGGAATTATAATTTCAGATTCGGGAACTTCTAATCCAAATGCATCGTAATTTCTATTGACATACTCAGTCGGCACTACCGCCGGCACATATTCTATAGCTTCGGTTTCCGGTGCAAATGCCCCAGTTACATAATTTACTGCCTTTTTAGGACCTCTTGCGTAATCAATAGCACTGAGAACCTGATCAAGGTGTCCTGGTGCAAGTTCTGGAGTTCCAAGTTCAGGAATATTTCCAGTAATGGTTTCAGGTTTTCCAGTATTTGACTCATCGTTACCATTCACAAAGTTTACTTTTGCACCGTCATTGTCATTATCATTTTTTTCAGATACTGCATCGTTGTTCGCTTTATCTGGGGCGTTGTTTTCGTTGATAGGCTTCTCTTTTTTAGGGTTATAACCTAAAGCGTTAAGGAATTCATCAAAACCTGGTCTTATGTGAGCTAAACCGCCTTCGTAATGTCCGTTGGTGGGGACATATTTCAGTACCTTACCATCTCCGTGATTTCTAGCATCTAATTTAGGGTTTCCAGTTTCTAAGTTATGGAATCTATTAAAATGCTCGTTGCTAACACCCTGGTACCCAGTCGTGGGTTGATAGCCAAAGTAGCGATGAGAATGGACTCCAGCTTGGGGTATGTACCGTTTAAACCAACCGTTAGGACTATGATTAACATACCCATTGCCGTACCACCCAGAGATGGGACCAAAGTTTCCATTCCCATCATTGGGAATTCCATAACGTCCATGGTTTTCTTGGTAGAATTCGTTTGGGGTTCTTAGATTTCCGTCGTGGTTTACGTGGTAATTGGGTATGTGGGTTAGGCTGGAATGTCTGATAGGTATTGGCCGAACTATCGGTGCTACCGGCTGGACGGGGATATTTGTGAAGCGCCCATCGTTTAAGAAAACTGAAAACCAAAAAAAATAATATTAAGACTTTATAATTTGATAGTAACAACAAAAATACTGATTCGGAATACGGAACCAATCAGCAGTCTTGCAGCGTCACAAGCAAAGAATTAATTCACTTCTGAACAAAGCTCTCTGTCTCAAAAAACCTTTCTTCCATTAGCTTCGCGTTCATCAAATCATCTAATGACTTCTCCGGCCCGGGGTGAGGGTGTGTCAGACTCTTACTGACTAAAAACCATCCCGTTCCTTCTTCTACTCCAGCCGCATTACATTATGTATATTAGGGCCTATATCCTATTCCAGAGTGTATCCTATGCCTGTGCCAAATTGCATCAAGATCCGTCCAATAGTTTTGGCGTGAGTCACTCACAAACATCCAAACATCGTGTCACTTTCGCATTTATAATATCCCAATGCCAATCCCACCCCCCATCCCTTCCCAATCCTTTAATATCCGAAACCCTTATCCCCAAAAGGCCGGCGATGCACTTGTAACTGTTTTATTGCTTACCATGACCGTCTGCTTGATGCAGACTTATAAAATAAACAAACCCAGCTGGAATGCATCGCGCCGTATGAGTAGTGCCAAATTTATTTCACATTTGTTCTTCTTTAAAAATAATTCTGCGTACCTTGTTGACCTTCCCCTGTGTCACTGGTAGCCTGTGTATAGTAACTAGTCTGTCTACTCGAGTCCTGAGAGCTCTGGCTCTCGTCACGAGATATCGAGGTGGACCTGCTGTACGTCACCGCATCACCGTCGTTTGATATTTCTGAAATGATCATAGAATTATTACTTATAAGTATTATTACTAGTTTTAAAACTGATCCCTTGAATTTTGGACCAAAATAAACTTCCTACTTCGGTACTTACGTTTTCTTTCGTTGTCACACTTCATTTTTTTATGATTTTACTTACGTATATCCTAGCAAATTTTTTTAACTTTTTGTATGAAAAAGCGATTGCCTTGGGCCTTAAACAAAACACATTGTAGGTATCCCCCACATACATAATTAATTACTTTAATAAATAAAGAGATGATTACAAAATCGGATACCCTGTCTCCGTCTATCACACTATGTTGTCACGAGAATATTAAAGAACAAAGGTGATAGACGCCAATAGATTTATTTTTATGGGATAGATCGGCAAACGCCCGTGGACACCCGCAACAGGAAATAAGATACGAGCGCGTTGCCGGCTTTGTAGGGGGGTTTCGGATTTTTAAGGATTGGGAAGGGATAGGGAGAAGCGAGGGATTAGGCCTCCGGTAACCTCAATCACACGACGCTGTGGTTGTTTCATTGTGTGTTGCCGTGAGGCCTGTTCTGTGAGGCCGTGGTCTCAATCCGGTCGAGCCGACCCATTCGTGCCGAAACATGGCTCTCCCACACTTAGGGCCAGTTTTTTGATCCGTAGTTAAATACCATTTGACTATTTGTTATCTTAACTATAGTCAAGAGGGTAACCAATTGTAAACACGTAATTTCATTTTTTGATGTCCACTTTAACTATAGTTAAACATAACCATTGGTTAATTTGTTGCCAGTGCAATGAACAACTTGCTCCCTAGAAAAAACGTGTTTATTTGTGGGTATTTTTTTGTTAACTGTCAGCACTGATCTGTTGAGTGAATGAAGTTGAACTAAATGTCATTTTTGACATTTTTAAACTTTCAAACGTGCCTTGATTTGATTTCAAAAATTCAAACTGCATCGTGTGGTTTTATAGTGATTTCTTAAACTTGGTATATTTTCAACAAATAAAGGATTTTATTATTAAATAACAATGTCAGGAAACAAGTAAGGAAATGTTTTTCTTTATATGTTATTGAATTGTCATCCATAGTGCTGAACTTTCGTGGTATTTTTACTATGTGTTTTCACGTCGTATTTTATTCATTATTTCATATATATTTACAGGGAAAACCGCAGTTCTAACTTTAACAAGGAAGAAACGAATAAGCTAATGATACTGCTTAAGGATTATCCAGTTATAACGTGTAAAAAAACAGACCATACAAGCAATAAACAAAAAGATGCTGCTTGGAAATTGCTCTGCAATAAATTTAACTCCGATGCAACCGTATACCGTAGTGTGAAGCAGTTGCAGCAAAAATACAACAATATGAAAAAGACTGCTCGAAAGGTTTGTAGACATTATTCTTTTTTTTTGATAGCAGAGTATCTATGTATACAGTATGTATATTTGAACGAGGGACTTATTCAAACCCCCAATAGTTTATCCATAGACTTCACCAATAAACATATAAACAATAAAAAACCCTGATGAATGACGGACAAAACCGTTCCAAAATGTCGTAAAAATTTCGCAACGTTTCGACACCCTAGCGCTTATCGCAGAATATATGCACGGTCAATGACCTACGCCGTAGGTATGAACGCATTTCCCTTCATACTTTAAATCTAGCTTAGGACAGGCAAAAATATCTAGGTACATCAAACAATAAACATTATTCAATGGAAATTTTCATAAGACGTGATGCACCATCGTATTTTTGGCGTATTTAAAAAATGAATGATGTTGGTAGTACAAGTTCTGGTAGATATTCAAAGGCACTTTTTCCAGCATTTCACTCACTAGCACTACTACATTATTTAAAATGTTTAAATACGATACACTGTCAAGACATAGTCATACCTGCCCACACATTTACACTAAAGCGATGTTTCGTAGTTCAGGGTCATTAACCCCAAGTTCCTGCACAGATCTAAAAGGTGCATGTCTTTGTTGTGCAGCAACTTCCACACAGTCATGTGAAATACACCAAAATGCCTTGCAGCATTTCGAGTACTTTCTTGTGGGTTTTCTTCGAAGTACTCGAGGATGGCATGTTGTAGGTCTACTGGGTATGTTGCTGCTCCTCTTCCTTGAGCATGAATCGGCACGGTAAACTGACCATATGTTCGTAGCCGCTGGTAGACACCTAGCATCAAACTGTATGATGGTATGTGTTTGTTGTGGTACATTTCTCTGTACAAATTAATGGCAGCTGGCACACGATCATTTGATAGCGCGTAGGCACAAACCATATCCTAATATTCTTCATTTGAATACTGGGAAACTAGGAAATGCACTTTAAATAAATTTGGTAAACGGGGATATTTACACAATGCGGAAGCGGCGGCGCGTTCGCATAGACTGGCGGTCAGCGGAGCGGGGGCCCGCGGCGGGTGCGTGCGAGCCGATACCTACATCTTCGGCACAGTCGGCGACACAACAAAGGAAAGGGGCGGGGCTTGTGCGCTTAGCGACAGGAGCGGCACGTGTTTGGCGCGTAATTATGTAAGCATTTTACTATTTCCGAGTTCGCTTTGCGCTCTGTGTTCATGAACACGGTATTTCATCGGACAATTAGATGAAAAATTAAGGTCCTAGTTTTTTACATATTTGGGTTGAGAATCGAATACTGACCACCCTCCTTCAATAAGTCCGTCCTTCAAATGTATATACTGTATAAATTAGTTACACATACTTTAGTGATTATATTAAAATCTTATTTCAATATAGGAAATGGCAGAAGAAAAATATGGTAGACGTCTGACAGGGGGAGGACCACCACCACCAAAACCATCAGAGACTACCGAGTGGCTAAATTCAGTCATGAAAGAATCCATATCTGGTTTAACAGCAGTGTACGACAGTGATGCATTAGGTATATACTTAGCATTAATTTTACTTGAAAGCATTCTTATTCTCATTGAATTTTATATTTATTTAAATTCTATATATATCGAGAATCTTAAATATTGCGTTACTTTTACTTATTTACAGATGAAAGTAACCTAATGAAAGAAAATTACACACAAGACACAAGCTTGGCCCATGTAAATTTGGACTTCTTGGACGAAAATACATTTGCAGAAAGTAAGTATTATTTAGGCATTAATAAATTTAACAGTAAATATAATAATATGCAGTTCAGTCCAGTATTAAAAACAATTGTTTATAATTACAGGCTTTCCTCATGACATTATAGATACAACTGAATCAGTACCTGTCGAGACAGTACAATCAAATAGGAGCGAGAATGCAACAAATGAAGTTTTGACGAATGCTGTAAAAACTGGTATGTATTATTTTATACCAAATTATATCATTACCAAAACTTACTACCAAACAGACTAGGTTCTCAATTCATCGAAATCTTTTTTTTTGTATGTTCCCTGATTATTCCAAGACGCCTGGAATAATTTGGAAAATTATATATCGATATAAAATTGTCTATCAACCAGACAACATTATTTTAAGTTTTATCAAATTCTTTTTATATTCAATTCTTTATATATTTTATTTAATTAAACTAATACCTACGTTTGTAATTATGAATAAATAACTTATAATCATATTATATTATTTTTCAGGTGTTTCAGAAACTGTTACTTTTGATACATCAACACCAAAATCGATGCTGCGAAAACCAGTTTCAAAAGAACTAGGTAGTTTTATTAAATTTACACTAATGACATTCACGTTAGTTAAGATCAATTTGTAAAAATACTACTAATATTGTTTGCTAGCCGCTCACCGCCCCGCGGTTTTACCCGCGTGGTGCCCGTTCCCACAGGAATATCAGGATAAAAGACCTATGTACTATTCCAGAGTATACTCCTACCCTTCGTAACACATCGTAACTTTCACATTTATAATATTAGTAAGATGGGTCATTAACACTTTCTTATTTTCTTTTAGGTTTCTCTGCTAAAAAAAGAACGTCAGCATTTACACCACTGGAGACAAGGAAACAAATTATCCTACACACCCAGAAAAAAAGCGAACTACTATCTCAAAAACAAAAAAGGGAAATAATATTATCTAATTATGCCCAGGAAGAGCATGAACAAAATATGCAGTTTAAGAAAGAAGCTCACGAGCAATTTCTAAAACACAGAGACGAGTTGCACAATTTAGAAATGCAACAAAAAAAAGAACTGCATGACTTGTTATTAGAAAAATGTAAATATGAGACGGAAAAAGCAAAACAAGAATTAAATAATATTTGTAAATAAACTTTCATTTTCTTTTGTTTTTATATGTATTGTAAAAATAAAATAGTAAAATAATGATAAAAACAAACTGTAAGAAATTTTATTAAATGAGTAGCTAGTCTGTATCTAATAATGCAGCGAAATATGTCCTTATTAATTGATTTCTATATTCTTGCTCATTAGCGGTGATCGGATAAGTAATATAATTTTCTATTACGTCCTCCGGTGCCACATTTTCACTTGCATGGGGTAAATGATCACTTTTATCAATACAAATATTGTGCAGTATTGCTGTGCTTACAATTATAGGTTGAACATTTTCCAACTTAACCCGTAATTGAGAGCCTATGCAGGGAAATCTTCTCTTCCACACGCCAAATGTCCTTTCCACTACATTTCGAGTTCTTATATGGCTCTCATTATATAGTCTTTCAGCTGGTGTCTGTGGATCTGCAAGTGGAGTCAATAGATATTTCTTCTGAGCATAACCACGGTCTCCCAAAAGACAACAACTACCAAACTGTTGATGTTTGACTCTACTATTGTTAAATATAGTGCTGTCATGTACAGATCCTGGCCATCTTGCAACAATGTCCATAATTTTCAGGTCTGCATTTGCAACTACTTGGGTATTTATAGAAAATACATCCTTTCTATTTCTATATAGTTCCGCATTGTCACCACCTAAAACAAAAATAATTATATTTAATTAGGGTATCTTTATTATATAAAAATATATGTATATTTACAGATAAAGGTAACGAAAAAATATTTTAACCTTACCAGGACTTAAAATCCGTATATGTGTGCAGTCAATCGCTCCGATAACACTTGGAAACTTTGCAATTGCATAAAATTTTGCTACCACTTCTTTTATCTCCTCAGATGTACGTGGCATAGCAATAAATTTTTTTAATTTTATACAAATTGTTCTGGAGACAGCATGAATTATTTTACACGCTGTGGATTTTGACATCCCAGACAGATCTCCCGAGCATTGCTGCAGTATTCCAGTGGCATAAAACCGTAATGTGAGTAGCACTTGTTCAAGTGGTGTTACGGCATGATTCCTTAAATAAAATTAAGATAATGAATAGGAAACAAATAAGAAATACTCAAGTATTTTAAAAAATATCACTCTTTCAATGGTAAATATTTGTTGTATAAAAATTGGCTATAGAATATAGGAGTTACTACACAAATAAGTAGGTACCTTGTAGTTGGAGTTTTCAGATAATCCCCAATTTCACAAACTATCCACATCACAGTTTCCTTTGAAAGACGATAACGTTGGCAAAAGTCTACATCATCCCAGGTTTCCAATGGCGAGTTACGGACTCTGAACGTTTTTGGTCTTCTCATTAATATAAAATGCGTAATGACATTGTCGTCATCTGATGAATCTTCTGAGTCTGACGCATCAAAATAACGGACAATATTCAAATTCATTATAGATACTTAAATGTAATTCTTCGAAATGAGATCAAAAAATTATACAACAAAGCAAGAATCAGCTGTCCAATCTAGTTTAACTATCCGCCATCTTGCTCAACCTGCCACCGAGCTGTGGTTAAATTATTTGACTAATAGTTAATAATTTGACAATTAGTTAAGCTAACTAATGATCAAAAAACACATTTTGTCAATATTTAACCATTAGTCAAGATTTTTAACAATTGGTTGGGTTAACTACGGATCAAAAAACCGGCCCTTAGATGAGTTAAAAATGGTCTAAAACTGCTAGGAAAGAGGCATATTCCATAAAAATACAAAAAAAACTAACCTTCCTTAGCGCTCTGATTCACATCGAAAGCGCTATCTGCCTCACTGGTCTTCGCCCATTGAGACCCAGCCTGGGTTTGCACCACCCTGTCTTGGTCTACATCCAGACTACTCGTATGCTCTTCATCATAAGCATCAGACTTCTGATGCCTTCGTCCATTAGCTTGGAATGAGCTGTCGTAGCGTGCATTTTCGGCTTCATGGTCTGAAATTAAAAGCAAAGTTTTGACTGACTATTGTCTTTTTTGTGAGGGGAAAATCACCAAATGACTTCCCCGCCCTAGTGTCAGACTCTTACTGACTAAAAACCCTTACTTCCTTCTCTCTAGGCCGAAGCGCGGCTGAACATCAGCCCTGTGGGGCCCCATCTGTAGTGGTCTATTGACTCTTTGAGGCGCGCGCGGAACGCTACGCGCCGTTCGCTCGGGTCTGGTTCTGGTCGGGCGGCGAGCTACCCTTACTCGCCGTCCGCAAACCCTTGCGTGTATTGCCCATAAGAAATTTTCTTTTTCTATTTCTTTGAACAAATATTAGTGTTACACTGTTCTCACTTATTCGAACCAACTTAATGGTGAACTAAAGAATCTGTATGTGACACTGATTGAAAAAGAGTGACCATGGAGTTTCTTGCTCGTTCTTCTCCATATAAGTACATAGGTTCATATAGGTTTCTATACTTTGGAACGAGCAAATAGCTTCACTAAGAGGACTGACCGACAGACTGACACATTTTATCTTTTAGACATTGTTAGTGAAATAAATGATTTTGAATTTACAATTAGCTTAAATGGCCTGACTCCACGACTTTAAAAAAATATATAGGTAGAGTAACCAGAACCCTTCTCAGAATGGAGGCAAAGTACTTATAATGTCTCTAGTTTTTTTTTCTATGTCAGTTCTCAAATCACCAATCCTTAAGTACTATTTCGCTAAAAAGGAATGATTAAATACTTTAATAAAATACTTACTAGGTAAACCATCGATGGCTACAAAAGCCTGTAAAATTAATAAAAGTAAAAATTAATATTTTATACAAAATTGAAATCAAAAATACTTTTTCCGAATATGCTTTTTTTTAAGAAAACATTACCCCACACTAGGACTTTTCTCCTGTGTCGTGGGTGCGTTTACAAACATAAAATTTCACATGCACATCACAGCCAGACCCGGAACAACAATCTGAAGACCTCACAAAGAGTTGTTCCGTGCGGGAATCGAACCCGCGACACGTTGCGCGGCAGCCAGTTTCCCAGCCACCGCGCCAACCGTGCAGTCATTGTATAGCTAACTTTTCCCCGCGACTTTGTTCGCGTGGAATAGTGACTTCCTGCAGATTTTTGGTTTATAAACTACCCTATGTCCTTTCTCAAATTCCAAACTATGTCTGTACCAAATTTCACACAAAGAGGTTCAGTAGTTTAGGCGCGAAGAAAAGACAGCTACAGAGTAACTCACGCATTTCTAATTTATGTTTGGAAGTTTGGACGGTGTTTGATATGATGCGCATCACTGTTATCTATAAGTACAACGTGATGAAGAAAGACTATCATAAGATTCCCTACCTATTATTACCTACTTAGGTACTATTGTCTATTATAGATAGTTAACTAAAGGTAAACAATGTTGGTATGTCTTTCGACTATGATTAGAATTATTTGACATGTTCAGTTAGGCGCGGATTATCGGGTAGGAAGACAGTATTTCAATAAAATAACTGTTGCTATAATCGCTCTTCTTACAACTCTTGATATTACAATCACAACGATTACAATTTAACTAAGGATTATTAAGATTAGCTTGGATTTGAACGTAACGTCCACCAAACACGTGGCTGCGTGCGTATTCTACGAAGGTCCAACACTAATTGTCCAGTTTTACAAGAAGGCCGCCTCACCAAAGCTCGGTGTTCGCTATGGAATTAATTATGACATTTGACAACAAAGAGGTTTCATATGTGCTAATGGCCAGTGCGCCGACATATTAAAGAGCTCGTTTATTTATTTATTTGTTATTTATTTATTTATTTATTATAAGGTAGGCTCACAGCTTATGTATACAAAGTGGTTTAAAGTAATGGTTATAGGCAGTAGGTCATATACATTAGACAGTTACGAGCTAACCAACATTCTAAAAATTGTGCGTTTATGCAGTCAAAATATATAGAAATTTAAACTTCTTAGAACAAACTATAAAATACATACAAAGATTATTTTTAATTTAGTTTATTAGCTAACTTCGATTTAGATAAATAAGTATCTGTGGTTACGCGAGAAATGCAATTAGGCGCGAAAGGGTTGCGAGAACTTGAAAAATACTGGCGGTTACAAATAAGATGACAGGCGGTGACACAAAAACGAGAAAGTATGCCAAAAGGAAGGAGCACAATACATGCAGGTCTTCTACACCGTCTTATTTGACAAAGGAGCACTTTAACGAGTCAGTTTACACAAATCACACCAGTTTTTCCACATATAACAATTTTTGTAGCGGAGAACGAAGCGAACTATCACACGCGATGTCAGCCATTGGAATTTTTTTGTCGTTAGGTTGCACACACGACTCAAGAGCGCTAGTGTCGCATCTCGCTCCAACGCGTGCGTTAGAGTATGTGCGGGAAAGGTATGGGGAACAGGATTGCAACAACCAGTGATATTGCCAACATTACGAATTCTTACCGAAAATTAAACACGAAAATTACCGCGCAACCAACCTGATTGTAATTTTTTTTACGTACCTACATTTTTTAGACAACTTTTAGATACTAGTAAAAAGACAATATGTCAAAATTGTTTACATTTAGTTAATTACCTAAACCGATGCCATTACTGTGTTTTTTTTCAACCGAAGACATCGATAATTATTTCCTTTTTCGGAATCCAAACTTTAACACCCGGTTTCTGAAAGGCCGATCAATGTTAAAATCAATTTAATCTCTCGTCAAGTCATCTGATTGGTTGACTGAATTATCAACAACCAATCAGATGACTTGACAAGAGATTTAACAGGAGATGAGTTCATTTTAGCGTTGACAAGCCTTTCAGAAACCGGGTGTTAGTGTAGAAGAGCCATGCTTCTTTTTTAAAAAAAAACAAACTTTGCCCCATACTAGGATTTTCTCCAGTGCCGTGGGTGCGGTTACAAACATACAATTTCACATACACATCACACCCAGACCCTGGACAACAATTTGTGGATCACATAAAGAGTTGTTCCATGCGGAAATCAGTTGCCCAGCCACCGCGCCAACCGTGCAGTCAATTGCTGCAGCTTCGGTACGAATTGGTAGGCTACAGACGAGTATCATAATGGCGTCATTGAAAACTGGCGCAAAACCTCGCTTAGGTGCGTACTCCTCAAAATCCCTGGCAAGTACTAATGTGACTTTTCCGTGTGTGAGTTATATGTCCTTTCTAAGATTATTTAGACACCACTGACATTCGGTGAAGGAAAAACATCGTTAGCAAACCTGGACTTATAATTTCTAATTATAAGTTCCACCCAGAGCAAGCATGGTGGTTTATGCTCAAACTTTCTCCATATGAGAAACTCCTTTGCTCAGCAGTGGGCACTTATAGGCTGACGATATAATTTAAGCTTTAATTTTTTAAACTTACCACTAAACAGATGATCACCACTCCACGCCACATTTTGAAATGATTTTACAAAAAAGGTGCGCAATCAATTTTATAATAGCACTTAGAACTGTCAAAATTATTTGTTCCTTAACAATCTGTGCAAATAAAAATGGCGGGTAAATAACGTATTTTATTTGAATTCAACATGGGTTCTAAATTACTAATTGTGTATTCAATTGTTTAATTTCTTTTGTTTATAGTTTATAATTGTACGTACTTATAATAAGATTTTCGTATATTGTTAATTTATTGTGCTTACCTATTACGATCTGAGTTTGCGTGGGCAAGCGTGTATTGTGTTTTTTATATTTCGGGTTTCGTATAGCAACAATTTGTAGAAACCTTTTATGTAACAACTAGCTTTTGCCCAACTCCGTTCGCGTGGTATAGTGACTTCCTTCTTCTCCTATGTCATTTCTCGAGTTCTAAACTATGTCTGTACCAAATATCACAGAAATCGGTTCAGTAGTTTAGGCGTGAAGAAAAGATAGACAGAGAGACAGACCGAGTTACTTTCGCATTTAAAATATTAGTTTGGGTAAGTTTATTTTTGCAATTAGGCCATAAAACACCACTTTTACACGTCAAAAATATATAAAAAAAAAACTAGTTGAAGCCAACGTTTCCTATCTGACTACTCTGAGAAGAAATGCCGAAACAAACTCAGAGGTCCGTCTCTTATAAAGTCCAGATAATGTAACATAAAATAATGTGTGATATAATATAATGTGTGAGAATCGTGCAAGTTCATTCTGTAGTGGTATTTTGAGGATACAATCACACCAGTTTAAGTGGACCTGTTCTGAAGAAAGAAAGGAAGTTACCGATATGGCTTTTAAAATATGCTAGGTGCAATGGCAACGGAAGGAAGAGACGCCGATGGACCCTGAAACTCCTTGGGCAAGCCTCTAAATCGACGTGGATAATAAAAGTCTTTATCACCTAGAAAAATAATGACATTCACGCAGGCAAAAGGCAAAACAGGGGTTTATACAAGGTGGCCCAAAATAACGTTGACAAAACCGGTTTTACATTTAATGTATTAAATAACTAGCTTTTACCCGCGACTCCGTTTGCGTGGAATAGTGACTTCCAGCAGATTTTTGGTATGAAAACTATCCTATGTCCTTTCTCGAGTTCCAAACTATGTCTGTACCAAATTTAATTAATATACCAAATGAGAAAGTAAGTACCTACATAATATAACTCGGAAAAGTCACATTGGTTTTTGCCAGGTTTCCGACTGCACCCTCGCGTATCACGTAACATTTTTCAATTTTATTTTATTTAGTTTTTTGGCAATGATGTTTTTGGGCAACAGTGTATAGTTCGTCTAAACTAATATTATAAAGAGGTAAAATTTGTAAGTTTGTATGTAGGTGGCAATCTTTGGAACCACTGGTCGGATTGCCAACATTCTTTCACTGATAGATAGCTACAATGTTCCTGAGTGCTATAGGTTATAAAACACGCTACGACTAAATGGAGCTGAGCAGCGAGTGAAACCGCGCGAGAGTAGCTATAATACTTATCTTAGAAGACTCCCGAAAGTATTGAAAACCCTTTTAGTGTTTACATAAAACAGTACCCTAACAAAATATTGTTATTATTCAAAGGACAAAGTGTTAGTTTGATTTAAACATAATTACAAATTACCTAACCTTAGTTCATATTGTTACGTAAATATACATACCTACATATATATTATGTATCCGTAATATTATTAGGACAAATTGTAATCGCTCACAGTAATCTCTTACATATTTTTATAAAACAGCTGAATATTATTACTTGCCTTGATCGTCTAATTAGAAAGTGTTATTTTTTTTTGAAAGTGAAAATTGCAAGTTTTCATAATATAAAATTATAAATGAAGCGGACATTTTTCTATTTATATTTTTTCTATTAATCAAAGTGATCACATACCTATGCAATCAATGAATTTTCGCCTCGCATTCGCTGTTTCCTTGAAGAAATTAGTAGTAAGGTAAAAAATCTTAAGACGCATTTTGTACTGTATCTCTTAAATAGATTTCCCACCAAGAAGTCAGCGGCTAAAGTAGATTTCCGTAAGCACAAGGGCCGCCCTCTTCTCATGCATGAGGAGGGTTCGAAACCTGGCAAGTACCAATGTGACTTTTCCGTGTTATATGAACTTTCTATGATTATTTAGATACCATTGTCAAGCATTTTTTCAATTATAAGTTGGATATCAATCCGCCTTGAGCAAGCGTGGTGATTAATGCTCAAACCTTTTCCGTGTGAGAAGAGGCCTTTGCTCAGCTCTGGGCACTCATAGGCTGATGATGCTGCAGCGCTGCCTATAAACACACTCAAAACAAAAGAGTGCGTTGCCGGTCGTTTGAGATTAGGGGTATTTGAGGATTTAAGTAAATTGGAGATGGAGAATGTTCCGGATTTTGGTCCACTGAGAAGTCTATGTTATTTTTATTTGCGTAATCTAACTAACGGTGTTATCAGTTTATCAATCCCTTTTTTCTCTTTTTTCTTTTGATGTGGGGAAAATCATAAAGTGTCTTTTCTCGTCCTGGATGAGGCAAGAGAGAGTGTCAGACTCTTACTGCCTAAAAACCCCTCGTTCCTTCTCAAGGCCGAGGCCGCGGTACCTTACTGCGCTTGCTCGGAAATCCCGGCTGAACATCGACTGGTCTGATGGCTCTGTGAAACAAGTTTTAGATTTTTTTTCTAAAGGACTGCTAAAGATTCTTTGGAGTAGTTAGAATTCCTTTGCTGATCTTTTGAGAATCCCTAACGGATTTGGCCAGTAAGAGTCTGACACTCTCTCTCGCCTCACTTTGGGCGAGAGAATATGATTTTCCCCTTCACAAAAAAAAACCGTAAAAAATATGGTTCGCCAAATTTTCATTTCGAGTATCACCCGCTGCTCGGCTCCATTTAATGGTAGCGTGATGTTTTATAGCCTATAGCACTCTCAGGGACATTGTAGCTATCTATCAGTGAAAGAATTTTGGCAATCCGACCAGCGGTTCCAAAGATTACCCCCTACATACAAATTTACAAATTTTACCTCTTTATAATATAAAATTAATATAATATTATTGAGTGCATTCTCGTTTGCAACAAGAAAAAGAACATTGTAGATACACAGACACACTATTATAATACAACAATTAATTACTTGTATTAAATTTCCAAATAATCAAAACCAATAACAAAGAAAAGTATATAATACAATAATTTACCTATATTTTAAACTTACGTACAATTAAACCTGTGTCAATTAATAAATTTAAACATATTGACATGTTTTTTAGGTATAAAGTTTTCGCATTGTTCTCAATTCCTTTTGAATTGTGAAATGAAACCTTTTTTTTTTATGTGATAGGACGGTAAACGAGCATACGGATTACCTGATGGTGAGCAATCGGCGTCGTCGCCCATGGATACCCGCAACAAAGAAGGAGTTACGAGTGCGTTGCCGACCTTTTAGGGATTAGGGATTTGGAGATTTAGGAATTGAGGAGGGATTGGGGAAGGGGAAGGATTGGGCCTCCGGTAACCTCACTCACACGGCGAAACACAACGCTGTGGTTGTTTCACGCCGGTTTTCTGTGAGGCCGTGGTATCACTCCGGTCGAGCCGACCCATTCGTGCCGAAGCATGGCTGTCCCATTATTTCGTGTACGTTACAGGACCCAGCAAATTATATTCGCGGATAGAATGGTGTTTATTTGTTAATTGTAGCGTGATGTTTTATAGCCTATAGCCTATATAGCACTCCGGAACACTGTAGCTATCTATCAGTGAAAGAATTTTGGCAATCCGACCAGTGGTTCCAAAGATTACCCCCTACATACAAACTTAGCAATTTTACCTATTTATAATATTAGTATAGATTTAACTTTGAATAACTTGTATGTCATGTAAGTAGGTTCGTTTTTTTTATGAGATAGGTCGCCGGCCTTTGTCGCTGCAATACCAAAGGATACTTTAAAACTACGCAACAGATTTTGATGCGGTTTTTTTCAATAGATATAGTGATTGACGAGGATGGATAGTAGAGAAATTTTGTATCTGCATTGCACCCGTGTGAAGCCGGAGCGGTAGCTAGTTATTTTTGCAAGTGCAATTAATATCTAACGTTTACCTTTCAGCTGTTCGAATGCCGCCCGCCATTTTGCGCGCGCTTTCTTGACGTCAAACGTCATGTCACGGAAGTTTCGTCTATTTCTTTTTTCTTTTTTTATGAATGTAGGTAAATGACATGACGAGGTGGTATCATGACAGTAATTTCACATCGACAAAACCGACAATAAAAGTATCAGAGTTTCAGCTAGAGAATTCAGAGAGAATTCAGAGTTTTAGCAAGACCAAGGAAAATCAATTAGTTGTTTTAAAAGACTACCTAACGTGACCTAACTGTGGAGTTTTCTCTGGCCTGAGGTGCGGTTAGAGATAATGTCAGACTCTTACTGACTAAACCCCTGCCCCGTTCCTTCTTTTCACTTCAAAATGAGGCCGCTGTACGTAATTGCGCTTGCCCTGCAACCCGGGCTGCAAGAAGGACTAAATTTGTAAGAAAACTCAAACTATACCCTTGGGAAATCTATGGTTGTTATAATCTACATTTACATAAAAAATCACTTCTTTCCGTCTACAAGTGTGGAAAAGCCATGCTTCGGCCAAATGAAGTGCAACCACGGCCTCACAAAAAACCGGAATGAAACAACCAAAGCGCGGTGTTTGCACAAGAGTGAGGTTACTGGAGGCCCAATCCTTGCCCCTCCCTGTCAATCCCAAAATCTCCAAAAGACTCGTAACTCTTCCGCTATGACGGTTGTCTATAGGCGGCCCTAATTGCTTACCATCAGACAATCCGTTTGCTCGTTTGCCGAAAAAAATAAAACTTAAGTATAGGTCGGTATCAAATTTTAAATGTAGGTAGGTAGGTACTTAAGTATTATTGAATAAAAAATATTGACTCGCTTCTGTCTAGACCACGGAATCAATTCCGTATTATTTAAATAACGAAATGTGTTCGGAAACAATAGTTCTTTGTGTAATTGTGACGTCGTATTCCAGTTAAATGGAAATCAATTAATTTGCCCACTTAAGTAAGTATATCAACTTATTTATTCATATTATAACAATAAACGTCATTCACTTAATATTACGTAGGTAGAAATAACTACTACGCTGAATTTTTTTTGGGATTAAACCTAGTGGTTACATACTCTTTGGCTGGGATAATCGTTACGGCCAATGATATTATAAGTAAAATGGCATAGATACTAGATAGGTTACATAAACAACATTCGATTTTCAAAAACGGAACACTTATGCACACATGAATAAATCGTATGTACACGTTAAAGTGAGATGGCATGATTCAATAATCGCGAGTGAAAAAGAGACAAATATGAAAAAGTGTGGCTAATTAGCTACATTTTAATGTATCAGTTGCTGAGCGCTTGTAACCTATCTACACCTTTTTACTTGTAATATCATTGGTTTCGGCTTACCTATGTTTAGCCGACGACGTTGCGGAGCAAGCGCAATACCTAATGCATAATTTCTTCATGCTAAAGCAAGGAGCAGGAACGGGGGTGTTTTTAGTCAGTCTGACACACTCTCGCCTTACCCTGTGCGGAAGAAGTCATTTGATGTTTGTCCCCTGACAAATCATAAAAATATTTTGCTTGAAACAAAAGTTGTAGACAATTTTATCCTCTATAGTATTGATCATAAACAAATATCGCACAAACCCCATAAGAAACGCGATATTTGCAGAAAAAGTAAAAAGAAGGGATTTTAGTGACCTTTGCCCTTTTTTACACCTTTGACACGTTACAGTATTTGGGACTTGTGGCAAGTTTTAGGATGTTCAAACTTCAAAATAAAACTTTATAGCTACAAATGTCAAAATTAAATGTACAGCTTGGTATCTCGCATTCCGAGATTCTTACCTTATTTTAACACATTTTTTTTTTTATATTATAAGTCGGCAAACGAGCATACGAATTACCTGATGGTAAGCAATGACGCCGTCCATGGACACCCGCTACAACTGAGGAGTTACGAGTGCGTTGCCGACCTTTTAGGGATTAGGATTTTGGAGACTTGGGGATTGGGGGAGGGGAAGGATTGGGCCTCCGGTAACCTGACTCACACGGCGAAACACAACGCTGTAATTGTTTTCCGGTTTTCTGTGAGACCGTGGTATCACTCCGGTCGAGCCGACCCATTCCTGCTGAAGCATGGCTTTCCCACGCCGATTCACGTAAATTTTATTCCAGCGCCGTGGACTCGCCCGGCCAGTTCAACGTAAGGCCGATATCCCGCTAGGCGTTTTACTAGCGTTGACGTCAACGTTGTGTTCGCGCAGCATCGACCCCGCGTCGCGTGGCAAGCATTAACGTCCGTGGGATAGCGGCCTAAACTGTAAGAGAAATGTAGGCGGCATCCGAGATATCATTGTGAAAATCGTAGTGGTAATGAAAGTGGTAACTATGATGACTGGACTAGGAGTGGTATTCTTTGCCAAAAGGGTATACCTGGGTGTCTTCAAGACCCGAGTGACTAGGTTTCTTATGGAGAGGCTCTACCGTAGGTCGTATCATCGGTTACCTCCAGGCGAGTAGCAATTAAATGCCCGCCCATTGCTAATAAAAAAACACTATTAAACTAACTAATCCTTGGGCCACACAAACGTGAAATGCCAGTCACTAACGCGATAATGGACGTTCATTGTAGGTAGGTGTAATTTGATCACTAAACAAATGACTTAAGGTATATTTTTTATTGTTTAATATCATATCAGATATAACTTTGTACATTCAGGTCTTGAACACTGCATGTATGTGTCATCATGGACCACTGCTTCACAGCCACCACATTTCACACTCATTGATACTAGAGGTAGATATTAAAATTTGTAATAGTGACAGACACGACCGACAACACGTCCGGACGCTCGCGCGTGCGCAGTTACAGTTTATCATCTGTCCTGTTTGGCCCTAACAAGGGAGAAGTATGAGGCGTTGACGGAAGATTACGTAAGCTGTTGGATGTGCCCAGAATGCGTGAGCATGATTCCGAAAAGGAATAACTCAGAAACCCCTGTTCGAAGCACACAGAACACTATAATGGATTCTACTTCATTTACGCCAAGCAGCTACGTAAACACAGCGCGTGGGAGTCGTCATTGTCAAAAGACGACTGATACTGAGGATAAGTTGTTCGAGGTGCTACATGAGTTTCGCTTAGAAATGAAATCTCGGCTGGATAATCAAATCAAAGAGTATGGAATGCTAAAAAAGCGGTTTGTAGCAACAGAAACTGAGTTACGAGAGGTACGAAGTCTAATGCAGGTACTTATAGAAAAAGCCAACAAAGTTGATGAATTGGAGGCTAGGATTGAAGTTCTAAAACAGAAAAATGAGCAACTGGAGAGCAGTCTAGTCCTTAAAAACCCGACACAAGGCAAAAAAGATCAAACTGAGGGATCTAAGGTATCGTTTGTGAATGCAGTCAAACAAAATCTGAAGACGGTAGTCACAAATAATGTCGCGAGAAAAGAATGTGTGGCCACAAAACCGACTGAACTGCAAATACAATCAACAACGAGTCACGAGAATAATTTAAACATTAATCATATTAATACGGATGTGGAGGAAAAAGAAACAGAAGAAGGGAAATGGATTACGATGAATAGGAGGAGAAACAGATATCCTAATAGTGAGGTTAAAAGAGGCGGAAGCACAGGCACTAACGAAATTCAAGGGACTGAGAGGAAGAAATATTTACATGTTTGGCGCCTTCAGAAAGACACTATTGAAGAAAACTTGGAAAAACACGTAAAATACATATGTGGAAACGAGGTACCAGTTACTATAGAGAAAATAAAACACAAAACTGAAAGAGATTACGCGTCATTTATTATTGGGGTACCCCAAAGTAAATATGATACAATAAGCAAACCGGAAAATTGGCCAATTAATATTGAGTTTTGTGAATGGGTGTGGTTTCGGAGACCCCTCAACAAGCCGAAAAATCAACAACAAAACAATTGAGATTTATTATCAGAATGTCAGAGGATTGCGAACAAAATTAGAAGACTTTTATGCAGGTGTTACAGCCTCTGGTGCACATCTTTTCGCAATTACGGAGACTGGCTGCAATGAATCTATACACGATGCTGAAATTATACCCCCAAGTTATATCATCTTAAGATGCGACCGAGCGGATGGCAGAAAACAAGGCGGCGCGTGTCTCGTGGCCACACCGCGTTTCGAACTGCGGCGAGTATCGTTGCCGGGTGACATAAACATAGATAAACAGGTATTTGAACTAGTTTGTGCAAACGTTTATCTACACAATAGACTTCTCTTTTTAATGTGCGTTGTTTACATCCCACCTAATAGTCATGAAAATGATTACATGTTATTATTTAGGATAATAGAACAACTTTGTAACAAATATAAGGAAATAATTGTATTAGGCGATTTTAATTTGTATTCATGTCCGTCCAGTATTAGTACTTATTATGAATATTTTGTAACATATTGTGAATTCACTCAGAGTAACGATATTGTAAACTGCAATGGTCGCGTATTAGATTTAGTGTTGAGTTCATTGTCGGGCGAGGGGTGTGTGTGTGTGTGCGCGGCGGGGGCGCCGCTCGTGCCGGTGGACGCGCATCACCCACCGCTTGAAGTGTCTGTGCGACTGTGCGCGCGGGGTAGGCAGCGCTTGTGGGTCGGCGACTGCGCTCAAACGTATGAGTCCTGTGCGACCACACAAACACATACGGGTTGGAATTTTAATAAGGCGGATTTCTATTTATTGTATTCATCAATATACATTGTAGATTGGAATGTTTTATATAATTTAAAATTAGAGGACAGTTTAGACTATTTCTATAACACAATTAATTCAATTATGGATGACTGCGTTCCCAGAAAGAAGCGAAGTCGTGTAAGGTTTAGATATAATTATCCAGAGTGGTACACTGTTGAAATAATTCGCGACATAAAAGTTAAAGCTACCCTCCATAAACAATACAAGAGGAGTGGCTTACCAAATGATTACGAGGCGTTTGCTCTGTATAGGACGAAAGTAAAGAACGCGATATTAATGGCACATGAAAAGTATAAATGCCGTATCCAGGACGAATTACACAAAGACCCGAAGGCCTTTTGGAATTACGTCAAATCTAAAAGAGGCAGGAAAAGCGCACGTAGAATTTTGAAAAATGGGGAGGCATTGCCTGAGTCACACTGTGCACAAGAGTTTGCGAAGTATTTCCATTCGGTCTATAGCAAGGATCGGGCCGCGCTTAATGTACATGCAGCGTTAGCGGATGCGGGCAACGAGAACGGTGCAGCGCGGGTTCATTTAGACCAACTACAATTACGTGACGTACAATCCGCACTTCGTCAACTGAAACCAAAGAGGTCCGCGGGACCGGACGGCATCCCACCTTACATATTTCGGGATTGTCAATCGGTGTTAGCCAGGCCGCTGCTACATATCTATAATCAGTGTCTGGAAGCAGCCATCTTTCCTGAAAGGTGGAAAATTACAAGGGTCGTTCCAGTGCCGAAAGGTGGTCCGGGAGAGAGTGTTGACGGTTATAGGCCGATAGCAATATTATCGAGTCCTGCTAAAATATTTGAAGCAGCGATCCACAGGAGCATATTTACTCAGGTAAACGTGCAACTTTCAGATGCTCAGCACGGCTTTCGACCGGCAAGAAGCACCACCAGCAATCTGCTGACCTACATGGCTAATATTGTACCAATTGTAGATAGTGGGGGCCAGGCTGACGCTGCCTATTTCGACTTTAAAAAAGCATTCGACCTGGTCGATAATGACGTCTTGCTTAAAAAGTTAGCAGCGTTTGGCTTTACTCCACATCTACTTAATTTTTTTGCCAGTTATATGAGAGATAGGCAGCAGTATGTAGAATATGCGGGATATACATCGAATCCATATTTTACCAGATCTGGAGTGAGTCAGGGCAGTATTCTAGGGCCTTTAGCGTTTATATTAATGATAAACGATCTACCTAAGGTTGTAAGAGATGCCTGTTGCCTATTATTTGCCGATGACCTCAAATTGTCACTCGATATAAAAACTATCGATGACTGTGAGCGACTGCAAAGAGATATAGATAATGTGGTAACCTGGAGTAAACAGAACCAACTGCAATTTAACACTTCAAAATGTGTAACGATATCTTTTTCGCGAGCGCGTAAACCAATCACCTATAATTACCATGTAGATAAGGTGCCAATCGTAAGGGCTACAGAGGTCAAGGATTTAGGTGTTCGTCTAAATGCGGAGCTAGCGTATCGTGATCATATCATAAAGTGTTGTAAGAAGGCGTATAGAAATTTAGGTTGTTTAATTCGGACAGTACGAGGCTTTACAAATATTAAAGCAATCGTCGCCTTGTACAATGCTTTAGTCAGGAGTCAATTAGAATGTAATGCAGTCATTTGGGCTCCACATGAAACTAAATATAGTCTCATGTTGGAGAGGGTTCAGAATAAATTTATACGTTATTTATATATGCAACAGTACGGGGTATATCCATTCTATCCATTGATGTATCCAACGTTATTTATCTTAGGTATGGTGGGATACAACGAGCTAAGGGTCAGGAGGGATCTCGCACTTACCTCGTATGTACTTAAGATAATAAGAGGGAAGATACACAATGGTAGTATACTGGCACTGGTTGGGTTGTGTGTTCCGGACGGGTACGTGGGGCGCAGGCGGCGGCCGCGGCTGCTGGCTGTGCCGCGCGCGCGCACTAACCTACTAGCCGAGGCGCCACTGACGCGCGCGCTCCGCACTCTCAACCATATCGCCAATGAAACCGACATATTCGTCTGTACTCTGAGTGAATTCACAAGGATAGCTTTGTTTGTTATATGTTATAAAACTGTAGTCAAGTAAGGATATGTAGATATTATTGTTTAGGCATATAAGCTAGGCTATTGCATTGGGTACAAAACCTGTAAAAATAGTCTAAGTTTTGGAAAATAAATAAATAAATAAATAAAAAAAATAAATTATTATCGAGAGAATTATTGGCATATCCCGTCAGTATGGCCCCAGCACAAAAACCATCCCATTCCTTATCCTGGTCCAAGCCAGGGCCGCGGTACTTACATTATTGTGGACCCGCAATACATTTAAAACTAATACCCAAACAGCTTACTTCCTATTAAAATAAAATTGTATTTTGTATGCATCAAAAACCGTAACTTTCCTTCGTATGAATTTAAGGCAAAAATGGCGCTCATAAAATATGCAAATAACGTCACTATTTCTGATCTGTCGGTTTAGTTAATTAAAACTATTAATGTAAACAATCTTGGCATGTCTTATTTATTAAAAAGTTATCTAAAATTGAATGCAATAATGTTTACAATCTGGTACTTATCTAAATCGATGTTAGCTAATAAACTAAATTTAAATAATCGTTGTATGTATTTTATACGACCTCTTTAATATAAAAAGATAATATAAAAAGATTGTTTACCTTTAGTTATCCACCTAAACCGATATATTTCGGCCCAAAATAATCAACAATTTAATTTCAAATATCTGAAAACATCATATCACAAAACGCAAAAAGTAACAAACGTCAAATTCACAATTTGACAGTGACAGCAGCTTATAGTCATAACACCCAACATCTGTTAGTCGGAAAGAAAACACAGATTTCTTGTGAAAATTAAACAAAAATGACTGAGACTATCGCTGAAAAATCGAACTGTGTATTCTGTAATATCGTAAACAAATTAGAGAACACGCAAATATTGTATGAAGACGACGATATTTGTGTATTTCCGGACATAAAACCTGCAAGCAAGTTACACCTATTAATTATACCTAAAAGGCATATTGAAGATGTGAAAAGCTTAACACCGGCTGATAAGGAGTTAGGTAAGTCGGTTTATCTTAGAAATTAATTAGGTTTTAATTAACTTAGTTAGTAAAGACGGCTGATATCAAATCGTCGATAGTGAATGGGGTGGCCACATGATGAACTAAAAACTCCCCGTCAACACAATAAGGTTAGACTTTCCTTTATGGACCGTCGATTTTGGGGTCAAAATGGGGGGAGGGGGGAAGGGGAGGGTGAGGACTACCCCCCAGGCCCATCCCCACCCCGCGGAGCCCTATGGTTACGGAGATATCCATGGTCAAAGTTTGTTAAAATTTTGAGGTTAGGAAAGATTTTTCGGATAGTTTGTATGTATGTATGTATAACTTTAGAATCGTACCGCAGTGGGGAGGATGCCCCCTTCCCCCAGTACCACTCCCATGACAAGGCAACTCACAGTTGCCGAGAAATACGATTTTTTATAACCTTACCTCAAAACACTAAAAGTCACTTAATAGGCAAAGTCTACGCGGGCTCCTACTTCTGGGTGGTTTGCAACATGCAGCAGGCATGGCTTCTGTCACGGCTCCGGCGCTGCGGGGCTCCGGCGGTCCCACGCGAGCTACGCGGGCCGCCCCGCGCCTCCGCGCCTTCGCGAATTTAAAAAACACTCTCGGGGTAGGGCAGAAAAGAGACCACGCAAAGTCGGTTTCGCAGCAATTCATTTCTGTCACTAACTTTTGTAGCACATTAAAAACATTATGCCAAAAGACAATGTATTAATTATTTCAATATAACCTATATTCAATAGGAATACTCCAAAAAAAAAAAAAAAGAAGTCAACAACACGCGAAACGTCAAATTTGGCGTGAATTTTTCAATAGACTTTACAATTTTTAAATAATTATATCTCGTAAACCGTGAGTTTCCGCAACATAAAAATTTGTAAAAAGCCTTCTGTTAATGTGTACTATCTACAAAAAAAAAATGAACGCTCAACTCGACGGTCCATAAAGGAAAGTCTAGCCATTGACTGATTGCTGTGTGCATAAAACTCCATTATATTCATACTAAATTTCAGTATTAGAAACGAGTCTAAATATTTAAGTCTGATTTGTTACTACTAAATAGAACGAAAAAAAAATTATGATTTCCTTCACGATGTTATACACGTTACACTTATATTTAACAAGCATTCTGGGAAATAAGAATCCAAAAAAGCTAGCAACACCGGCTAGGGATGGTTCAACTGCAAAAATATTTTTGAAAATTATAAAATAAAAAAAACGTTGTTTATGTGTGTGACTATTTTGTCAATTAATAATCGACTAAATAATTTCTTTTTTTCGTTATTTCAGTGAACAAATTATTGAATGTGGCCCAAGAACAATTGACTAAAAATAATCTATCGTTGAATGACGCCCGATTAGGATATCATTGGCCGCCCTTCCGCAGCGTGAAACATCTTCACTTACACGCTATAGCGCCCGCCTCTGAAATGGGTTTTATTTCGCGCCTTATATTCAGAAAGGACTCATACTGGTTTGTTTCTGTAAGTATGATTATTTATCAATTCAAATATATTTGTTAATACGTGAATACCAAAAGAAATTATTTTATTATTTTTCTTGTGATATCAATTACTCTTATTTGCTCTGAGTATTTTTCCAATTCCATTGATAAAATCGACTAAATAAATTACGTTCTCTAATTTTTTTCTTACCAGAACTATGTACCAAATCTATAAATTAAAATAACTAAAATATATAAACTAAAATATATTTGTCTTCTTTCAGCCCGACTATGTCTCTTCACTGCTTTGATGGTGCCCATCCAAACTATAGAACAATTGATTCCAGCTACTGAATTTCCTCTTGAATTAATTATTTAGTATTAATTTGAAAACAATACGCATACAAAGCCTAATATTTGCGATTTGTCATTAATTATGGCATGATCTTTGTTATGGCGGGAAACGCAAGAAGTTGGAAAATGCACTCACGGGCTAGAAGTTAAGGTGCAATATCGATATGTTACCGTTTATATACAAATCTATATTTCATTCCATTTAGTCCATTTCTATGAAATAATTACCTTGTTATGAAAATTTTAGTACTAAGTTTTAGCCATGTCTTCAAGAATTATTTCGTTTATAATGTCTTGTATATATTATTTCATAATATCTTATATTTTAGCGGGAATAAATATTTAATAAAAAGATGTGCTGTTTTGCGTTGAATATGACTTTCTTATTTATTAACCTTCTGTATAACTCACTGAGAAAACGTCCGCTCAAACGCAACGATTTACAGGAACTTGTGTAGGTGCTTATAAAACCATTTATTTTGCTACACAATATGAATTTAAAATAGACAAAATAAACATTTACAAAAAGAAAACAAGTAGCAAGAGCCTCCATCTCAGTACAGGCTGTAGGTATATACCTACCGGCAACAATAGTCGATTAAAGGCGACAAAACTCGACTAAAATTTTTAGCAGCGATAGCCCATCACTCCGGTGCAATAAAACTCAGCTGTCAAAATAAACACAATAAATTATTTTTGTGTTTGTGTTACATATTTCTTAAAAAGGTAAGTTATAAAATAAGTATTTTGTACACATTATTTGACTAAAAAAACCCTTTAGAACAGATTCGTGCTTTATAGCTGTAATATTTAAAATCTTCATGTAGTTTTGTTATCCTAACCTATGACGAAAACAACAATGTTTTAAAAGTCCAATAATTGGTGTAATCGTATGAATAAAACATTTTTATTGCGTAAAATGGGACGCCCAAGTGCTCTGTTGCTGTTTTCCGACTTTCTCCGTAAATGTATCACATTTTTTCTATGAATTAAATCTCATCCCAACGAAAACATATTACCTAAAGGTACGAAAAAATAGAATAATTCAATTTGAAAGAAAGAAAGATTTTCTTCTAATTTCTTCAAATAGTTTGAGAATTGGTTTAAGATTATATATTATCTACTGTAAATCCTGGAACACAAGAGTTAAACTTACAGCCGTTTGGAGTCGCAAAGATCGATTTTATGTTTTTTTTCTTTTTTTTTAATATTGTATCTCCCTTTGTACCAGGAGACTAAATTTACAGCCACTAACACCCATCTAAGTATAACTAGGTCCTCATTCATGATGAAATAGGTGCTGTGTCTAAGATAAGTTTTATTTTAGGATGTAATTTGTATGGCCTATGTGCCACCTAGTTTATCTGGAATTTATATCAAGTTCTTAAAAAAGGGCCCTAAAAATTCTAACATATTTCTTTTATATAAAAAACCTCATTAAAACTGCTCACTATGATTTTCTCCTGTGTTCTGGGATTATACAAAGTGTTGTTCCATGCGGGAATCTATCCCAGAATCGAAATGTTGACACATTGAATGGCAGCTGGTTGCCCAGCCACCACATCAAACATGCAATCATTTAAAACAGATTACAGTGGGAAGGGGTCGACTTTGGTGCTCACGACTTCTTCCATAGAACCAATATCCAAATCTCAAAAATAAATTCAAGTAATTTCCCCATACCTAAAAATCGCAATAGCTAATTGATCACTTTGCATGGAGAAGCGAACTTTTTTTTTTTTAGATTTCTCTATTGCTCCAGAATAAGGATAGGGTCCTTAAATATGTCCCTGTATAATTGGATCAATTAAAAAATTCTCAAATCAATTAAAATCAATTAGATCAAGCTATGTGTTGGAAAGCCATGCTTCGGCACGAATAGGTCGGCTCGATCGGAGCGATACCACCACGGCCTCACAGAAAACTGGCGTGAAACAACCATAGTTTTGTGTTTCACCGTGTGAGTTACCAGACGCCCAATCCTTCGCCTTCCCCAGTCCCTAAACCTCCGAATCCCTAATCCCTAAAAGGTCGGCAACGCACTCGCAACTCCTCTGTTGCGGGTGTCCATGGGCGGCGCTGATTGCTTACCATCAGGTAATTCGTCTGCCCGTTTGCCGACCTATTAAGTATTGTTTAGCCTACAATTTCTTTTTCCAGAACAATGGATGACTCAGAACTCGACCCGTCAGAGCTAGGCACACAGGAGTACTGGCAGAGATCTTACATAAGGGAGATAGAGAACTTTGAGGAAAGTGGAGATAGCGGAGAAGTTTGGTTTGGTGAGGACAGTGCTGATAGGGTGATTGACTGGATCTGCAACTGCGGGATTGAGAAAGATACTGCTGTTATTGATTTAGGTAATATATGTCTATTTAGGACACAAAATGAAACAACACAAAACATTTTTTTAAGTATACAATAATTAGCTTTTGCCCGCGACTTTGTTCGCGTGGAATAGTGACATCCTGCAGATTTTTGGCTTAAAAACTTATCCTATGTCCTTTCTCGAGTTCCAAATTATGTGTGTACCAAATTTCTATATTATGTGTATCTCATAATATATCGACAGATGGCGTTGGGATCGAATTATATTGCGCTACGGTTAGTTAAATGGCAAAGTATATTTCAATTGAACTTAGTTTTAAGAGAATTGAGTTGTCTTCGTTTCTTCGAATTCGCCAGAGTTTCCACGGCGCCCAGGCATCCGGGTATCTCGTTTTAACTTTTCATGGGATAATAAATATTATAGTAATAAGCAAAAAGTTAAAAATCATATGACACTGAAACTGCGTTCTGTTTCGTCGCTCTTTTGATATCAGTTGACCCTTAGCTTCAGGCCACAGTAGGGATTATTCCGATCGAAGTAAAGAACAACCGTAGCGTTTTAAAAAACAAGTGGTCCTATGAAATACTAACTTCCGCCTGCGGCTTCGCCCGCGTAGTATGTTGATAAAATCCTCTCGTCTCGTCTCCCCCCCTGTTTTGTCATAGATGGTCACATTCTCCCCCCCCACGAGTCTGATGTCACGTGTTTTGCGATTTCACATCGAATAATCATTAAATAGAAGCAAAGAAATCGCGCGAGGTACTTTACGGTGCGTTTGGAAGTATTCGTCAAAGTGCTCGTCGGCGATCGGCGCGTGACACTAGAGCGGGTATGAACTCGTCAACAAAACAATTCTTAAACAGTGTTTCATCATCATCATCATCAGCCTGTTGTCGTCCACTGCTAGACAATGGCCTCCCCAATTGCACGCCACTGAGCTTGAGCTCTTCTCATCCAACCAATGCCACCCACCTGTGATTAAATTAATATTACAGTGTTTGATTATAATTAATACCTCAAGATATATTGCATTTTGAAATGTGACAATGTCACAAAATTTAGGACCCCTCCCACACCATGTCACACTTTGTCGACATCTCCCCCCGCCCCTTACCTCTTTTACGTGTGACATAATTTAGATGACCCCTAATTTTCTTTAATGCCTTCGGGCATTAAGTCCGCCTTTGTATGTATTTTTTTTATATGTACATAAAGTGTTAAATAAATAAATAAATACAAAAATTACGTTATTTTCCATTTTTCAAACCTTTCTCAAATTCGATTCCAGGATGTGGCAACGGCTACACGCTGACAGAGCTAGCGAGGGAAGGTTTTACAAATCTGACAGGAGTTGACTACTGTCAGGAAGCTATCATCCTTGCGGAGAAAGTCTCACAAGCGGAGTTTCCGCATATTAAGTACAAGGTATGTATGTTTAAATACAAGTTGTTGGTGCAAAAGCACATCCTGGATAGCCAAAAATTCTTAGATAGCAACTACCTATAAATCACAGATAATCTTTACGAAAAAGTACATACATAAAAAATTAAAATCGTACAATACGGTAGTTTCCATCTAAACAAATTCAATACTTTTATCCAAATGTCAAAAACGATACTTTTCTATGAAATTTGTATTAAAACTCCCTCAGAAATCAGAACATTTTTATAGTTCACAAAGACCCTTGGTTTTTACCCGACTACGGCAAAGCAAAAGAAGGGTTATGATTTTGACAGGCTATGTATGACATATGTTCATCTGTTCCCTCCTAACTTCTAAACTACTTATCAGAGTTCGACATATGACAAATCGCGCTGAAAAAGTATAAAACAAGATTTTCAGAATACTGAAAGGCGTTACCTGCACTTTGATAACGTGTGACTACGCCTATCAGTATTCTTAATACCTTGTTTTATACTTTTTCAGCGTCGGTTTTTGTCGTAGTTGCGTTTTAGTTTTTATACTTTTTATGCTTTCATTATATTTATTTAGTTTGTTATTCGTTGTAACTTTTAAAATACATACATCAGCATAACGCAGGCTATCCCAGTTTGTGTCTACTATGGTCGGGAGCGAGTCAGGGTGGAGTGCTATCGCTATCTTTTGCGAGGCCGTGATGCTCGCAAAGGAGGCGGCGGAAAGGGAGAGAGAGGCTGCCTCCTCTCTTCCCTCCCGCAGCAGACGCACTAGACGTCGTAGAGTGGCCGACCTGCGGCCACCGTAGGACGCGGCCTGCGGACGAGACTCGGGGCGTTTAGTCGTCCGACCAGCAGCAGGCCTCGAGGCGCCGGTGTCGTGTTCCGCGCGCGCCTCATAGTGGAGTTCTGCGGTCGGGGTGACGGCCGCAGTGGGTGACGGGGCCCGCCTTACCATCTGGCGGTCCAATACCCGTCGGGGGGTTGCGACGAATGCTTCGGCGATACCCGCCCCTCCGACACATGGGTTATTGGAGGAACACCGGGTTGGTTTTTAGTCAGTAAGAGTCTGACAGTACCCTTCGCCCTTACCCGAAGGCGGTAGGTCTCCATGAGGCTTTTCCAACCCGACACAAAAAAAAAACAAATCCCAGTTTGGGTTCCTGTCTTCCAACTAAATATTAAATAATGTCTTATGGTGAAAAAATTTAAATTATTATTTATTATTCAATTCCAGGTATTCGACATAACCCAGGACTGCGTGAAGGAGCTAGGTAAATTCGGCGTTGTACACGACAAAGGCACTTACGACGCGATCGGTCTGAACCCCGAGGACCCGAAGACATGCAGAGAAAAATATATTGAACAAGTCCATAATATGTTAAGCGATGATGGTAAGAAATTAGCGTAATCGATAATAAGCACAATAATAAATAGTTAACAACGCCATCTAGGGAGCTGACGCGTAGTAAGGTCCCTAGATGGCGTTGTAATCTCGATAGATCGATCGATTTGGTTACACGAATTTAATTACGTTATAAGGGTTCAGAGTAATTTTAGTTAACATCTTTTTTATGTAATAGTAAGACAGCAAGCGAGATGGATTATTACCTGATGGTAAGCAATCAGCGCCGCCCATCTACACCCGCAACAAGCGGGTAGTTTCATGTGCGTTGCCGACCTATTGGGGATAAGGGATATGAAGTTTTTGGGATTGGGGAGGCATCCACTCGCATGGTGAAACAACGCTTAGTTGTTTGACGCCGGTTTTCTGTGAGGCCATGGTATCACTCCGGTCGAGCCGACCCATTCGTGCCGATGCTTAACACTTAGATTAGGTACTTTTTCTTATTCTATATTATTATTTTCAGGTCTTTTCATAATAACATCGTGTAATTGGACCGAAGAGGAACTAATAAAGCATTTTTCTGAAAAAATGAAACTTAAGCGTGTACTACCGACACCGCAGTTTAGATTTGGCGGGAAAGTAGGCAGCGTGGTGTCTTCTGTTGTCTTTGAAAAGAAATGATTAAAAAAATATTTTGTTATGGACATTGACTTTGGTTTTATTTTTTAAATAGCTGCCTACTTGATGCCTAATAATTAATTTCATTTTGCCCATTGTAGGCAATTTTGAACTTCACACAAAAGTTTAAACATGACATTCTGACGGTCAGTCTTTTTGTCTCTTTTTTTATGTGCTAGGTCGGCAAACAAACAGACCACTTACCTAGTGGTAAGCAATCAGCGCCGCCCAAGGAAACCCGCAGCAACAGAGGAGTTACGAGTGCGTTGCTGACCTTTTACCGATTAGTGATTTGGGAGATTTAGGAATTGGGGAGGGGATGGATTGGGCCTCCGGTAAAATCTTACTCACACGGCGAAACACAACGCTGTAATTGTTTCACGGTGGTTTTCTGTGAGGCCGCGGTCACAGTAAAAATATCATACAGTATTGTAACTCGGCCGCTTGAAAGAAATAAATACCTACAGCCGCACGGTACGTAAACATGCGTTAGGGCTGCTCGTCTCCAGTATTTTAATTACCTTTGTCTACTTTCTGTTTCCATTTAGTTTTGTGATTGTAAATATCCCTTGTTAAAGCAGCAGCAAAAACTATGAAAATTTCGAAAACTAACTAATGACCTCAGAATACAGAAGCTAATGACACAGAGACTGTCAAATTAATTTTTTCTAGTATTATTCATAAACACAGATGATAAACAAATATTATTAATAATAAAATACCACACTCTCTACTTTGAATTATACAAACTAACAAAACATACATGAACCGTTTTAACACAAGCGTAAGTAGGTAGGTACCTAACGTATCATGATTCATTCAGAACCAAAACCGCCTATAACTACCTATTTCACTCGTCTCAATAACTTTATTCATTTTATTTATAAATTCAAACACCAGCTGTTTTCGTGAGATAAAAGGAAATAATGATCCATTATAAAGACACACATTATGTACCTACCTAGGCTACTTTACTAGTAGCCTAGGTAGGTACATAATGTGTGTAAAATTATTTTATAGTCTTGCCTTTCAGAGTTTCCAGGTAATTTAAAAAAACTTATGACTGTTGACGAATTCATGCAACCAAACACAGCACAATATTTCCTATTCGTCATATTAAATAATGTACTCGAGCTGATTTCTAAATAAAAGACAACACACCGTCCGTTCGTCACTGCGGTACAGCCGCGTCTGTCTGCGTCCCGAGCGCGCCCCGACATCGGGCGCGTAGGTATAGTTCGCGTTTCGGCCGTTTCTATGAAGTTGGAATACTTGTAGATATTATTACCTGCCGCGGTATCACTCTGGTCGAGTCGACCTATTTGTGGAATTATAAAGCTGTTTTTTATGTGTGTAATGCGAGTTTGGCGACACTGGTGCTCCTTTTGAGAGTGTAGGGGGGCATGTCTCCTTAATTTTCTATTCTGTGGTTTAAACAGTCAATTTGTTTTGCTTTTTGCAAAGGGGCTACATAAGTAGGTATCAAGAATATTGAAAAAAAAATGTTATTGAAGATCTTTTTCAGGCAGGACTAGCGATAAAAGATTAACAGGAGAGTGGTTTTAAGCCAAATAATAAATTTTATTGTTGAAAAGATTGATGCATTTTTAATTTGTATAAATGGCAAAGTAAAATTAAAAACAAGTAAGTAATCTATACTAATAGTATAAAGAGGTATTTGTAAGTTTGTATGTAGGGGGTTATCTTTGGAACCGCTGGTCGGATTCCTAAAATTCTTTCACTTATTGATAGCTACAATGTCCCCGAGTGCTATAGGCTATGAAACATCACGCTACAATCAAATGGAGCTGAGCAGCGAGTGAAACCGCGCGGGAGTAGCTAGTTATAAATAATATAATGATTAAAAAAATATTCCTAGCTTGTGCAGTAATGGTAATAAAATATTAAACGGCAAAATATTTAGGAGTCAGAGAAAAGAAATATCAGAGGGATATAAATAAAACAATAGGTAAATATATTTTTACACTTTATTAAACATTCTTTACACAAACCATTTCTTCATATACGTACTAATTTTTTGTTACATAAAACTTCAAAAAGAATAATAAACGAAATATTATAGCCATACCATATCTTATAATGTAAACCTTAAATAAATCGGATCTTAATAAATAGAAATGAAATATCGAAAAATACGCCACTTATTGACATAAAAAAGGGCGGGAAATTTTGACAGGCCATAGATAACAATAAACTTTATGCTAGAAAGATGTTCAATGTTTTTCACAAGCTATATGTAAAATAAAAATAAAGCGCTCATTGAAACTTAATAACTGTAATGTGGCTGTCTAGCCTTTGATATGATATTTAAAAATTATAAAGAAACAATATTTGTGCTACAAAAAGGTATAAGATTAGGCATGGCGAACTTAGTTTTTTTCAAATAATAATAGATCAAGAATCTTTTAACGATTACAATCAGACTTTAATATCATATTACAACAATCAGTATTGTAATCTAAGCTTGAATTAATTTTCCATTTATCTTCGTGAACTTTAAAAAATCCAATATAAATAAGGTCTACCCCAAAATACATATATAATATAAATAAATGTATCTATAACACCACTTAGCCTATAAATATATTAATAATTGTGCATGATATACCAAGGTGTAGACATCATCCGTGCATTTTAAAACACAATATTACAAAAATTAAATTTTACTTTTTACATTTTTTTTAAACCACGGATCTGAATACATCAACAAATACATATTACATAAAATTTCCTTAATTCCCAATTCTCTAATACTATTTTTACAGGTACAACTACACAATATGCATTTTTATTTCTTCAAAAGAAACTATCATAAATATATATTTTCTTTAATTTTTAATAAGCAGGTTTTTTTTAAACATTGACATTTATAAGTTTTTTAAACTCTAGAATGACTAAGTTATCACGACTCTCAATTTGATTGATCACAAACTCAAAACAGAAAAATGCAAAAAGAAATATGAGCACTGATGAAATATAAAATATTTTTAAAATTTTGAAACCAAATAAAAAGTGGGCCAAGTGCCAACCAATATTTTAGTTTTAACCATTTCTAAAGTATTTACAATATATGCATTTAATTTATTTAATAATACATTTTAAACATGAAATAGGTAACGTGTAATGGAAAGCAAAATAATGTCACTTTTTGGCGCGAATTTCATGAAAAAGTTTTTTTTTTTTGCTTGGTCTAAGGGAACTCCTATAAGGTACTGACTTTTTGAAGAAAAATATACAGACTGTGAACGTACTGACGAATCGCCTGATGGTAAATGGTCAGCAGCGAAAGGAATAACAAGTCCTTTGCGAATACTGGACATCCCATCAAACAAATCTAACTATGTTATTAGTTTAAGTTTTCATTTCTATTTATTTAGCCGTAGTGGCTTAATAAATACAAATGAAAACTTGTTACTGTGTCCGCTTCTCATGCATGAGGGCAAATAGCAGTCTGACTTTTTTCGATTCATATGCACTTTCTATGATTATTTAGACACCACTGACATACGGCGAAGCTAAACATTGTGAGGAAACCTGGACTTGATAATTTCTATATAAGTTTGAAATCGAACAAGCTGGTGGTTAATGTTCAAACCTCCATGCGACATGAGGCCTTTGCTCAGCAGTGGGCACGTGTATGATGTGATGTGATTATTTCTATTTGCGTTCAACGTGAAACATAATGAGTAATTTACAAGATAACACTATATTATGGCGTAATATATATCAAGTATCAAGTTTGTTCGATAAAGGCTTTAAGATAATAAACGTTGATAACACCTGCTTTTACTGATTTAGAAATAGTATTTGATTACAAAAATAGGTAATTGAGAAACTCCTGTCTAATTCGTAAATTATAAACGGCATTCTCTTTATTCGATTATCGAACATTTTCTAAATCCAATTCAAAAAAAGAATATTATCTTGGCCAGTAACGAACTGGGCGATTCCAAGCCTACTACTATTTTTTATTGGCATTCTTCATTGCACCTAGCCAGTCAATATAACAACCACTCATTTAGACTAGACTGGGCAACAGTTATTTTTTTGTAAACATTAAAAACTAACCGAATGTCTAAGCAAGCGAAATAAAATTTGGTAATTCCTTAGTCAAAATAAATTATTTCGGCTTCTAATGCAATAAAATACTAAAAAAAATACGCTTTCATTATTTGTTATTACGATATAGGTACCTAACTATTAAATATTAGTATTTTTCTAGTTAATTTTCCAAAAAACTAATATACCTATGACATTTGACGTAAAGAGAACATGGCGTCACAACGCACAATCCATGCAAGATATGAGAAAACAAAAAAAAATGTACTTTTTTTTCTTCTTGTTGGCAACTGAATTTCCAATACGATGTCGTCGACTATTCTGCCAGTGTCGAGTGGCGACGGCAGAGTAACGCACCGCCGACTTTTAACTTTGTGGTAGTATTTACTTGTTATTAGCTAAAAATGGACTTGATTATATTTCAAAGACATATTAGCATGTACGTACGGATAAAAAATAAAGACCTATTAAGTATTTTACTTTAAAATTACAGGTTCCACCCCTACACACACAGCAGACTCACGATAATTGACAATTTTTTTTTTTTTTTGTTGTTCATCCGTAACCTATGTGACCTGAGGAAATAAACAATCCCAAAAGCTTATATTATTATTTCTTATTTGTTTAAAAATAAATGCAAGTAAAATTTTATTTTTACATTAATGTTTAGACCGCATCATGATGAAAATTTTATAACCTTTTAAATAGCTGTAGGACGAACATTCCTAGTCAAATGAATATAACTAGTTTTTCTCGCTGTTTTGCACTCGACAATACAGATTTAGTATTAAAAATGTTACTCGATTTCCCCCTTAAAATACAGTAACCGTTAGGTTCACTAATTCGCATCAATCTTACTAAAAGCTCTGAGAGATGACATGATAAAAAACCTCATATAAAATAAAATATAAAAACTATCCTAT